GGAAATTTCTGTCTAGTCGTTAAATCTGAACATGAACTCACATTTCATAATCTCATTATTTTTTAATGGCCATAGCCAAATAGGCACAACAGTTTGGAATTGGTGGTTTTTTAAGCAGTGTTTGTCAACTTTGTTAGGCCTCCCAACTATTTTGATTCCAGCGCCACTTATGAATCATATGTAGACCAAATGCGCGCCTAGCCAAATTATAAGCCTAATATCTTTTCTGGGGTTAACATACGAAATACTTTGCAACGTACAAAGGGCCTAAGTATTTAAACATCTTTAGGTCAAGAGTCTATGTGCTGTAGTTCAATATTTATGGTAAATACACGGTTTTACCCGAACCTAGACTTATATCCTATTATTTGCCTCATTGAAACTACAATAATGTAAATCATCTCTCACAAGTAAATTAATACACATTTTTAGTCCCTAGAACTATTAAAACAAACGATTACGAGATAAATGAATTGAAAAGTGTATAAACACATATGCACAGAACCTTACAGCAAGGTTTGCGAGTAAACAATATATATTTCATAATATTTTTTTAAATATTAGTATATTATTGTGACTGTAACTTGGAAGTCGACAAATTGTCATTTTGGTAAATAAGTACATTGTTACTTATAAATAAAAACTTTTAAACAAGTTAACTATCCAAAACTTTCTAAAAAATTATAGTATCCAGCGCAAAAAGTTTTGGCATAAAATATCACAGCTTTATTTTGAATTTCAAAATCCAAAATAATCAAACAATCTTATAAGACCTAAGCATATTGCATATAAATCTTGTTCAGGTTAATTTTTTTTTAAGGCTGCTGACAGTCGCTTCTTCCCGTTATATAATTGACAGTAAAAATTATCTCCGCCTCCTTTTAAACATATGTATTATCACGTTAATCATTGGGCTTCAAGTATCGGTGTTCATATTCAAATTGCATTCACATTTTATATTGCATGTAATATGTGCAACTGGACTTTAGTCAATAATTTGTAACAAGTAGCAAAAGGTCCATTTGAAAAATGTCAATTACTTCTGTCTCATATGACACACAATCGATTTTTTTTATCTGAAACATCTAGACAATTATTAACATCGACTTACACCACAATGATAACATTTTGTTTTTTATATTTACTACTACAAGTGCATATTTTTGTATGAAAAAAGAGGCAAAAGATACCAAAGGGACATTCAAAACTCATTAGTCGAAGAAAAACTGACAATGTCAAGGTAAAACACGGAAAAAAGAGGAAAGACGAACAAGTCCACAAAACACTGAACAGCGGTATACTACTGTTGCCTTTATATCGAAAAAACAAGAATGAGCAACACGAACCTCACCAAAGAAATGAGGTTGAAATCATGTGCTCCTTAAGGATGAATAACTTCAGCTCCACATGTTTATCATCCGCCAAAATATACTTGTTATACATTTAGTTATCCACAGTTATCTTTCTAACTATATCCACTCGTATTGTTTTCTTCTTGATCAATAAGTTCATCCCTTGCATATTATACAAACATAGTTTATTATAGTATCTGTGTTGTTTAACAGATAAACGCCCCTTAAATGCATTATGCTTTCTTGAATTTTACTTTAGTTTGCTTGAAAACGAAATATTTCAAATCTTGAAATACCAGATACCCATTTTTGATCTTACATTAGAGATAATGTTGTAATAAATAGGAAAACACGTGGAATAGATGGACGGATAATTAATAACATAACATAAAACAAAGAAAAGCAAAGCTTCGAACGTTTTTATATCAAACGAAGATCAGTGTGTTTTTCTATAACCCGTATCGATCATACTAGAATAATACACAAGTATCTTCTGTAAAATGAAGTTCAATCACTTGCTTCGATTGCAACTATACCATTAAACATGTTTGTTTCTACATTGGCTAGAGGTATAGGGGGAGAGATGATAACTCACTAAATATGTTTAACCACTCCGCATTTTTGCGCTTTTTCCAAATCAGGAACCTCTGGTCTTTGTTAGTATTGTATAATTTTTAATTTTAGTTCACGTGTATGTTTTGGTTTGACGTCCATTTTCACTCAACTAGTACACATTTTTGTTTAGGGGCCAGTTGGGGGATTTCTTGCTGTGTTGCAGACCTATCGATTGCCTTCGGTTGTTTTCTGCTCTTTGGTCGGGTTGTTGTCTCTTTGACACGTTCTCCATTTCCATTCTCGTTTTTTTTTTACTGGAATGAATTGACCTTACTAATATTCTTTTAGAATTTGTATATCAATAATATGTATGATTTATTTGATGGTATTCCTGTTACAAAAATGGTTCATTTTTATAAGAAATTTAAATATAATATATATAATACAAATAGGTTGGTTCAGTGTAAAATGATATTTTATATTTTCATCACGTCGTCGTTGTGTTGATCTTAATTTGTTTTAATCTTCAGTTATAGTACATGAAGGACTTAATGTCTGGTTTAAAGATATATACCCTGGCAACATAATTTGAATTAGGTCTCGCCGCGATAGTCTTTTTGAGCGGAAGCGGCGTAAAGCAAAACAAATACACCAATCAATCAATCATGTTCTACCAAGGGATCATTTGTTGAATTGGCCAACAGTTTGTCCACAATGAAAAAGGATTTGACAAATACTCTGAGATTGTTTACTCGTGTAGTAGAACTAACGAAAGGGTAAAGTACTTAAAAGTAGAATGAACGCTGGACATTTCCACCGGGTTGTCGGCATACTGATGGGTACCAACTGTGCGCCTCTCCTTGTGGACCATCTTAGCAGCAATTTATCAGACTAACCCTCATATGGAGTGTAGATTACTCAACCCATAAGATTTGTTAGAGCTTTTATATAACAATTTGTGTATTGGCTAAAAGTTGCCATCAAATCCACAGTTGACATGTTGTAACTTAGGAGGGACCCGCCATTTTGAATTGCTTGGATCAACAAATGTTCGATTACTACAATATTATGGAAAATAAAACAACCCCTACCTCAAAATCATTCATGAAGTTTCTCGGAATTTTAGTTTATCTAAAATTTCTACATTTGTTCAAGCTCTATCGTATGATTTCTTTTTATAATGCACTAGAATCGGAATAACAGTACAGTATTTGAAGAGTTGCCACCGTCAATTAGATTTACATTTCCGTTTTACTGTCTACGTAAAACTGCATTTGCGACCATCAAATAGTTAATTGACGGTGGCACTCGTCAACTACAGTCTTAATATTCCTTAATTAACGCCACCATTTTTCCTTGGAAAATGTCTATACTAAGTCAGGGATTTGACAGCTGTTTTCCATTCGTTCCAGTGGTTAATAAAGTCGAGCGTTTGGTGTTGTCAGTTTTTACAGACTTCACCTTTTTGATTTCACCGTGGAGTTCGATATATGCGTTAGTACATTCTTTTGATATAATAATCATAAAAACATGATGTCATGGACAATGAAAATTTCAGTTATCTGTATAAGTATTTGCAAAATAATGCCTATTTACAATACTTCATGGAACAATTTATTTAGGCATAGTTCTATGTTTGTTTATGTCTGGTTATGGTATAGGTTGATGGATATATTGTTCCTATGTTTACGTGATTGAGTTAATCAATACTTTACACATCTACGTCATTTACGGTTTCTATCGTCAGATTGTTTTACAATAAGAAAAGGCTGTATACCTACAGCAGACACGTTTGGTTTCCAGATTCTGTAAACACGAATAAAAGTAAACATGTAACCCTCTTATCAAAGTTTTTTATATTTAATAGTTTTAAATTAATTATATATGTGAAGTACTTTTACTTTAAAAAGTGTCGAATATTTCAATGTATGTTTGTATTAGCTTTAAACATCTTATTATTTCTATTCATTTTTTGACTGCGACTTTGTTTTACCCTTACATATTATAGCTGTTCAAAATAGAATAGGAGAACTGACAATAGTCCAATTATTACAAGGAAATACAAGTTCAATAATTGGCTTTCAATTATTCGGCTTTGAGCGTTCTTGATGAAGGAAAATCAAGAAATTCGCAACGGACGCATTGAAATTTAAAAAAGTATCGCTTTCCTTTTATTCTTACTATACATAAGGTTTGAAACAAAATTTAAGTTAAACAAGAAAAATGATGTAAAAGTAAATACATATTCTTCTCTTGATGAGTATAAGATGTGATATGATTCCCAATGAGAGACATTTCCACTACGTTACAAATATCGTAGATGTTAGCATATTGTTTGTTTTTGCAATATTATTTTGACAGCTTTAACTACATCATATTAGATTTCAATTGCCTTGAGTGAGACCTCTTTCTTGAAATCTGCCCGCAATGATATCATTTGTTATACTATGAGTGTGATACAACTCACCATGATAATGGTCGTGTATTTGTTTGTTGAGTTAAACGCCACATATAATTATAATGGTTATACCAAAGCGACCAGTTTTTGTTGGTGGAAGAATCTGGAGTAAACAGACAGAACAACCGACTTTCTGGAAAACTGGAAATCTGTCAATTTAAATGAGATTCGAATCGAATACACATCACCATGAAAATGTTTTATGTACACAAGTTTCTAACATAAACCACATTTATTAAACAGTTTAACAAACATGCGATGTATAGAGTTTAATGCCACTATCAGTGATATTGGTTATACCATGGGGACCAGTTTTGTGTTGGTGGAGGAAGCTGGAGTAAACAGCCAGAACAACCGGCTTTCGCCTGAAAAACTGGCTATCTTTGTCAATTTAAAAGGGATTACATTACTCATCACTATAAGGATGGTGTATGTACACAAGATATATACTTAATGCATATGTACAGTTTCATCAAAATGTAATTTATAAAACGACTTTGATATTCATTAATCTCGAATTGTTGGCCAATGCTTTTGTGTACTCTACTCATGTGTATGAAATATTTTTTTATACCTCTGTAGGAAAATACGAACATTACATGCCGTTTATTTCAGTATTATGGTATTTTTTACAGAATGGTGATACTCCCTTACACTCAGCTGTTAGTGGTGAACAGCTCAAAATAGTTCAGTTGTTATTGAAAAGAACAGATATAGATCCAAACAAAGGAAATAAGGTAAGAAATGACGTTCTTCACAGGAGTGTCCAAGTTTGTTGAATCTTCAATCAAAACCAAAGAAGAAGAGAACTGAAAATATACACATTATCCATTATTATTTGTTTGTTGAGTTTGATGTCACGTACATTATTAATGGCTATACCATAGCGACCAGGTTTTGTTGTTTGTTAGTGGCGGAACCTGGAATAAACACACAGGACAACAGAACTTCTGGAAAACAGGCAATCTTTGTCAAAATAAATATGATTCAAATACACATCACAATGACCAGGTTTTATGTACACATGTTATTAATCTAATCCACAATTACAGATTCATCAAAATTGCGATAAACAAAAACGGTTTGAAGTTCATTAACTTCTCAAAATGTTGGGTGGTGTAATTTTTTGTACTGTACTCATATGTATGAATTGTTTTTGTTAGCTTTCATATGATGCAATGAGCAGTGCAAGCTTTTTAATTTCATTATAATGGTGATACTCCCTTACACTTAGCTGCTAGTGGTGGAAATCTCGACATAGTGCAATTGTTATTAAAAAGAGCATATATAGATCCAAATAGAGAAAATAAGGTACGAGTTGACGTTTTGTACATAATTGTTAAACTTTGTTGAATCTTTCATCAAAATCAATGTCAACATAATTTTGCATATAAAATCTATACACATCTTGGCAAAATACTTTAATCTTTAGAGTGAAAAAAGCGTTATGTATCCAAAATATTCGAAATGCCAAGACATACTTATACCCAAATCATTGAAATTGTTTTTTGTGATATCCATTTGACGTGACTCTGTACTAATGTATCCCGTCATACTTTAACGACAATTTTTTTTTTATTATAAATATTACTTTTACTGTTAAGTCTTTTTTTTGTGATATCCATTTAACGTGACTCCGTACTTATGTATCCCGTCATACTTTGAATGACAAAATTATTTTATATCTACCTGTGTGACGTCAAACGCGCGATTCTACGCCAGTACTTAAAACCTTCCATCCTTTATGAAACTGACATTATCAAGATGCTTGATTTCTTGATTGACAACATATTTGTTACGTTTGGAGGACGTGTTTTTCAACAGACTGTCGGAATTCCAATGGGAACCAATTGTGCCCCTCTTCTTGCCGACTTGTTTCTTTATTATTATGAGGCTGACTTCATACAGGAGCTTCTTAGGAAGAGAGATAAGAAGTTAGCAATATCCTTTAACTCTACGTTCCGCTATATAGATGATGTTCTCTCACTAAATAATACAAAATTTGGTGACTATGTTGAACGAATCTATCCCATCGAACTAGAGATAAAGGATACTACAGATACAGTTAAGTCTGCCTCATATCTTGACTTACATCTAGAAATTGACAATGAGGGTCGGTTGAAAACAAAACTTTACGACAAAAGAGATGATTTCAGCTTCCCAATTGTGAACTTTCCATTTCTATGTAGCAACATTCCAGCAGCGCCTGCATACGGAGTATATATCTCCCAATTGATACGATATTCCCGGGCTTGTGTTTCCTATCATGATTTCCTTGATAGAGGATTGCTGCTCACAAGGAAGCTATTAAACCAAGAGTTCCAAATGGTGAAGTTGAAGTCATCCCTTCGTAAATTTTACGGACGCCATCACGAGTTGGTTGACCGTTATGGAATAACCGTTTCACAGATGATATCGGATATGTTCCTTATGTCGTAACTACAATACCCTTCCCTTTTCACGAATGTGACTTACCGAATTAGACTATTTACCGGATTTGTAATAACATAAGCAACTCGACGGGTGCCACATGTGGAGCAGGATCTGCTTACCCTTCCGGAGCACCTGAGATCACCCCCAGTTTTTGGTGGGGTTCGTGTTGCTTAGTCTTTAGTTTTCTATGTTGTGTCATCTGTACTATTATTTGTCTGTTTGTCTTTTTATTTTTGGCCATGACGTTGTCAGTTTGTTTTCGATCTATGAGTTTGACTGTCCCTCTGGTATCTTTCGTCCCTCTTTTATGGGTGGATTTAACATAGATAAATAAAATCGTATAATAAAAAAGGAAAATGAGGATGTTAGATTTGATGTATGCCTTTTTGTGCTTCTCTGTTACATTTGTTTGTTTTATAATGATTAAGATGATAACACAATGTTGACTGCTGTACCCTTACTTTTGACATTTTTACCTATTGTGTCTCTTTGTTTTGTTCACGCATCATTGTCAATATAATGGAATTTGATGCGACTATCATACAAGTGAGAGGTTTAGCTAGCTATAAAACCAGGTTCGATCCACAATTTTCTACATAAGAAAAAGCCTGTACCAAGTCAGGAATATGACAGTTGTTATCCATTCGTTTGATGTGTTTGAGCTTTTGATTTTGCCATTTGATTAGGGACTTTCCTTTCTGAATTTTTCTCGGAGTTCAGTATTTTTGTGATTATACATTTTTCTTAGTTTAAGTTTATTGTGCATTCCAATTGCACAGATACATTAAAACAAGGATTTGTCATTTATGAACGCATGTATATACAACCACTAATTATTTGAATAAAGTCTGAAAACGGGAATCCTCGAAGAATGTAGATGTAGTATTATTGCAAAAAAATATTTACTCAGTTAATTAAATTCACCATGATGCCGATTATAATACACTCCATGCTGTATAATCAATTGTTTTTTTAAACCCGAAGAAAAACAAATGTCGTTTTTCTTTGTATCATATAAAACAGCATATGATTGACCGAGTCTGATCAAAATCAAGCAATTTTGCTAAATTTATTTTTGAATAAAAAGATTTAACCCATTAACCAATGATATATATATTTCAAAGTGTTCTATTTATCGAATGTTTAACCTAAATTGTTGTTGCCAGGAAATGAAATATGTTAGTCTCATGACAAAACTATATGACCTAGGTGATTTATTGTTTTACATCTTGAAAATTTCATTTATATTACATGATTGTCACACCTGTTGAATTACAGCCAATTAATATCATAAAATCTAATTTTGATAAGGAAGGTTCGTTCTAAATGTCATTTTACATCTATTACGTTTAGAATACATTATATGGTGTATAATCAAATACTTTTTGAACCTGATTAGATTAGATTTTATGATATTTTCAGATTACCTCAGACTTTATTAAACGTCATCAGCAAGTTGATGAACTAGGGTTATGTAAAAGAACGTCTCGTCCCTTTTCTGAAAAGAATCATCGGAAGATACCAAGACCTTGTTGATAAATATTCCGTGTCAACTTGACAAATAATACATGATGGTCTTGAAGTATAGAATTTAGGTACTGACATTATTTATCATTTTAATTACGTGTTATATTGTTGATTGACTATTTTCCTGTCTAGATATGTTTTTTGAGGTGCAAAGACCTCAAATTATTCTCTAACAATTGGTTTTTAATTATTTTGTTTTCTTTCGCCAATTTTTTTTCTTGCGCAGTATTGTTGTTTCAAAAGTTGTCGCTTAGATAGTTGGTATATGATATCGAACAGTTTATACGTTTTTAAATCTGACAATGTTTAACCGAACCATTTACTTTGTAAGAGTTATCTACCCGAACACTGTTTTTCTTGTTCGGACTACTCCTTCGCAACCGTAAAAGATTGAGATAAATTTATTTTACCAAATTGCTCGTTATATCCTAAGGATATGGAGAATAATTTTGACCTTAGAAATCCGGAGACTCCATATTAGAGTTATTTCCCCTTATGCATTTGATATAAGTGATATGTATTTGTAACAGGCAAACCATAAGTGATAAGTAAGTAAGTAAGTAAGTAAATTTTATTTTAAGTCGGCATATATATACATAATAACAGATAAAACATGAGCTCTTATGAGCTCTTTAACAGACTATCATATAAAAATCATGCAGCTTCATGCAAATACTAATAAATAAAAATTAAAAAAATATGCAAATATAATGAAAGCAAATTAATATTGATTATTGAATCTCAATGGGTCAATGGTTATGCGGCAAACACATCTATGTGCATTGAATGGGGAAACCAGCAATCACTGAAATATCATAAACTACTAACAAACTAAAAAGCATAAATAAATAAATTAAGCACTGTCATTTAAAAACAGCTATATAATAATTCAGAACAAAAGCAGAACAAAAGCCAAGAAAAAAAAAAGAAAAGAAAGAAATTTCAGCTATTAGGCAGCACTGGATTGAAACGGCATGAACTGCTGTTGCATTGTTGACCCCCACACCAGGAATTTATATATTTCCTAAATTGTTCAAAAGAGATCATACAGACCTTCTAAAATTCAAACTGACCATTATTCCGTGCGTTCGTTGTGTATCGTGCGTGTTGCGTGCGTGTATCGTGCGTGTACCAATCATGCGCTCATCATTCATCGTTCCGTGTATTTTCCGTGTAACGTGCGTGCATCGTGTATTCTTAATCGTGTATGGTGCGTGTATCGTGCGTTCATCAATCATTCATTCTTAACCGTGTATCGTGCGTTCGTCAATCGTGTATGTAACTGAGTACATCAGATAACGTGCATTTGTCAAACGTTCATCTCTAATCGGGTAACGTTCATTCATTATATGTAAGTCGGTTATAGAGCTCATCAAAGCTTATATTTTATCTCACGGTTAAAGTGTATATATATGTTCCGACTTTAAATAAAATTTACAATCATACTTACTTTCTTGTGAACACTTAATTAACTTCATCGTACATAACGTTCATACAGATTCATGAATTTTTGTGTAAAATATATTTATCATCTGTAAACATTTCGTGGTTATTCAGTGAATCTTGGCTGGGACTGACACATTTTAATATAATGATACATGTTCTACGTACAAACAATAACATGATGACATTTCTACGACAGAACAGTTAAAATTGGAATTTCTATTCAACTGAGCGAAATGGGCTTAAAAATATACTGTTGGCCAACTGTTATTTGTTAAAAAATATTCCGCCAATTAAAAACAATAGTGCTTTTGCAAAATTTAGATGTGGGGTA